TGGAGTTATATTTTCACTTGGAAAAAGATAATGTTCAAATACTAAACAGTGTTGACCCCCATAACTCAAAAATCTGGATGCGATAGAAGAAGAAATTCTAAAATTTCTCCAGTGAAAAAAAGGCACTACATATTCAAAACACAGGCATACACACACACACACACACACACACACACACACACACACACACACACACACACACAGGCTTTGCCATTTTCTGTATCCTAGCCATGGAGTCTACTTGATAATCGATGGCTGAAGAGTTTCTCAGTGGATAAACCATTAAGGACAGCATATACCCATTCATAGCATGGGACAAACCCAGTAGAAAACTTTGTAGAATCAAGTCTAAACCATTCGTCTGATACACAGCTAGTTCAGCCTAATCTGAGCATATGGTATTTTGTAGGCTTAGTAACAGTGTAGCTTGAGAAAGATAGTACAGATAGGGTTGGACATTTCTACTATGTAGGTTTCTGTAGACTAAAAATCTAATACTTGGTCCTAGGTAAGCCAAACTAGTAGAATAAAAGGTCCCTGTCCATATACAATTAGATCCAATCAACCACTTTAACCATAACAAATAATTCCCATTTCTATGTAAAATTGTGAACTGAAATGCCAAAGAGTAAATCTATTGTATATCTCAGAAATCTGTACACTATCTTTCTACTGACAGATAGGAATTCGAGCCACATCTCCTCAGGTGCATTTCTGACAGTGCAATGAGGAGTGATTTAGGAGGAGATGATGGAAATGAAAGAGGGTTATGGGATTTACTCTTCTGAAAGGACATTGATAACCCTATTCCACATTGCATTTTTGTTCACTCACGTTATGGCTATAAAAGCAGCACGGTTGAGCCTCTGGCTATAACTGCCACATAACTGAAGAGATTGTATTTTCCAAAATGGCTGCAAAAATATCTCCCATCCTTCCTACTCTTCTACTATGTGGTATTGCCACTCCCCACATCAAGAGGAGAGTCTAGTTCCCTTTTGTTTGAATCTGAGCAGGGCTTGTGGCTGCTTCTACTGGTAAAGTATGGCAGAAGTGATGCTGTATAACTTCCAAGACTGGGTTATACAAGGCAATGTAGCTTTTGTCTTGTTCACCAGCACACTTCCACTTGGAGCCTGGAACTGCCAAGTAAGGAGTTCACCTACCATGAGTTCACCATGCTGTCAGGAAGCCAAACCACATGAAGGCCATAAGAAGGTGCTGCGTTCAACAGCCCCAGTGGCATTCTCAGCAAACCGTCATTACCAGCTGCCAAACCTATGAGTGCATCCTCTTGATCATCCAGCCCAGTCTAACCTTCAGATGACAGCAGCCCCAGTGAATCTGATTCCATCTGCCTGAGAGACCCCAAGCCAGAACCATCCAGCCAAGCTCCTCCAAAATTCCTGATGCAAAAGATAACGAGTAAAACAAAATGGCTGTTTTAAGCCACTAAGTTTGGGGGTAATTTGTTATGCAGCAATAGTAGCCAAAACAGAATTATTTCAGAGTTAACCTTTACTTCCTACTATTCAGACTGCTTCAGAATCTAAGAAAATCAGAAGTTTCTGACCACCTTCAGGAAAGGAGTATCTTTTCTGAGGCACTTGACCTTGAACTTTCTAGCACTCTGGAGTTCCTAGAATTTGCTAACAGCTAATGGCCTTGACAAGCAGTCATGTAATGTAATCAGGCAGAGAAGATTATATTTACAAGAACTCTTCTAAGAAAAATTGTTCCATATATTTAGGAAAATACACTTTGATCAACTCATGGTAGAAACGAGATGAGAGTAGGGTGGAGTGAGACATTCTGTTCATGTTCAAGTAGTAATAAATAGTTGCTAAATTTTCTTCTAAGGGGGAAGGTTGCTATTCATAGCAGACCCTTTTGCTTTGTTGAATACCTAGCTGAGTAGTGATTGCAAGTTTAGGAAAAGAACTGAATAACTCAGCAAAATAGAGGAAACTGGACCATGTTTAGGAAAAGTGAAAAGGAGAACACCCTGTTTGCTCAGTAGCCGAAATGAGAACTTTGGGGAACAGAGATATTCAACAATATTTTGAAAGAGTCTGCTATTGAATGTGTAAGGGAAACTTTATCCTCTGTCATTCTTACCAGAATTTCAGTAAATATTACATTGCTTAATCATTCTCTTATTGCAAGTGGTTTAGAGAAATATGGAAATATTGAGGTTATCAAGATTAAAAAAGACTACATATAAGGACCAGCAGATATCTAGGTTACCCACATACTGGTAAAAATGTAGCAGGGACAAAACATTTTTTTGAAAAGGGAAAGAAAACTGCCAAAATAGTTAAGCTATCACCCAGTCATGGAAAGCCCATTTTAAAGGAAGAGTTTTATACACACACTGTACCCTAAAGACTGAGAGAGAGAACAGGCACACTCAGCGCTCAGGCACATTCTTAAGCACTGAATTTTTTTTTTTCGGTACGCAGGCCTCTCACCATTGTGGCCTCTCCCGTTGTGGAGCACAGGCTCCGGACGCGCAGGCTTAGCGGCCATGGCTCACGGGCCCAGCTGCTCCTCGGCATGTGGGATCTTCCCGGACCGGGGCACGAACCCGTGTCCCCTGCATCGGCAGGCGGACTCTCAACCACTGCGCCACAGGGAAGCCCTTAAGCACTGATTTTTATTTTCTTCCCCTGATGCTAATGGTTGTTTTGTTTTAAAGGAGAAGAAACTTGTGGGAAAAGTTGGTCTGTGGATATACAGAAAGGGTCATATCCCAGAGTCCCATAAAAATGGCCCAATGTTTTTACCAACTCTTGTTATCTCTTTCAACCCTTTCAAAATTTTGTTTATTGGTCCCGCTTTTGAGGAATAAGCTCTAATGTGATTCTGATCTGATGAACAAATATACACTAACTTGTTCATAACTGGTAATAAGTGAATGTAGTTTATGTATTTGCATTTATAACCTATGTGAACTTTACCCCACAATCTTGCATATGAGAAAAGAGTACCATTTTTTCACTTTCTTCAAATTAAATCCAAGTTTGAGCCTCTTTCCTCCTGCAGTTGTAGAAAAATTCGACTTCTATCATTATTGGGATTGGTAGAGAGAAGTCTTCTCCTTCTTAGATTCCATCTATAATCTAGGAACCTGATGTGGTTCCTGAAAATAGATGGAAAAGTCACCGGCCTTCAGTCCGTCCTACCTGCTGATACACATTGTACATATTTCATTGCTCTTTGGAGTCTGGTGGCTCCAAAATTTCCTCTGCTGTGTGTAGGTAGAGAGAATGTACCTAAGGCAGGGGCCCTGTGCTAGTGTCCAGCCTCCTTAGGTGCAGCTTTCCTGCCTCCCACCTGTGGGAGGTGCGGGTGCGGGATTCCCAACACAGAGTTCCATTCTCTCCAATTTTGAGGAGTCTTCCTTCTGAAAGGACACTCACTTCTCTCCATTTCCCTAGTATACTGTCAGCCCTCTGTATCCACATGTTCCTTTTTTGTGGATTCAACCAATTGCAGATGGAAAATACTTGAAAAAAAATCCCGAAAGTTCTAAAAAGCAAAACTTGAATTTGCTGCACCAGCAAATATTTACATAGCATTTATATTTTATTACATATTATAAGTAATCTAGAGGTGATTTTTAAAAAATACGGGAGAATGTGCATAGGTTACATGCAAATACTCCGCCATTTTATATAAGGGACCTGAACATCCACAGATGTTAGTATCTAGTTGCAGGTCCTGGAGCCAATCCCCCACAGATACTGAGGGATGACTGTAATCCTCTCAAGGAGATCAGCCCTTGGGGACATAAAATCTGGAAAGAGCCAATGTCTATAGTCAGTTTTATTTCCTGAACCCACAACACAATCCTCCCCTGAAGCAAGGGAGAGACTCAGAGGGCAAAGCTACCTTCCTGGGAAAGTTACAGAAAAACATACCGCAAAAGGAGAACACAAAGTAATGTTTCAACAGAACACTCAAACATGTATTCGACAAGATACTTCAGAAGGAGTAATATTTTTACCCAAAGGCATGGGACTTTTAAAATGGGTCCTTTAGCACTCTTCAGGTCTGGGAAAGGTCCCTCTCCAGGAAGGCTCTGCCCAAGCACAAAGAATTTGAGGAAATTCTGAGTTTAGGGGCCTTGGGTGCAGCCCTGAATCACCTCTGGGCAGTAAACATCAGGAAGACATTTTCCAGCTCCAGCCTCCACCTCCAGGAGAATGTCAGCAATAATTCTGGGTGTGTTACCCAAAGGCAGGCCTTGCCCTAACTGACTCCTGCCAGAAGCAGCTGCCTTTGGAAACAGCAGAAATAGCTTTCTGTGTTAGGAGGAAGCAATAGGAACCCTGGTGTTGAGCAGACCTCACACTTCCTTCTTACCACTAGTTTACAGGCAGCATGGTGTAGGGAAAATGAGGTCAAGGAGCTGTCGCCCTCTCTATAGGCCTGGGTGACTAGGGAGATGATCTTCAGAAACAGATTCCTTGATCACTTCCCATGGTACCCATAAGACTTTGACTCTGACACATGACTTCAGAGGGGGTCTGCTGAAACCCCCTGTTAACCTTCTAAGAATGGCAAACTTAGAAGTCCAAAAGGATATAGATTTTCATATCCAAAATAAGAGGTATTATAGCAAAGCACAGGTTACATTTCCATAGGACATTTTTTTTTTTTTTTTTTTTTTGCATTTCACTTAGATCAAGAAAAATCAAATCCCATAACTGCTGGGTGGGTGACTCACAGACCGGAGAACACTTATACCACAGAAGTCCACCCACTGGAGTGAAGGTTCTGAGCCCCATGTCAGGCTTCCCAACCTGGGGGTGGGGCAATGGGAGGAGGAATTCCTAGAGAATCAGACTTCAAAGGCTAGTGGGATTTGATTGCAGGACTTTGAACGGACTGGGGGAAACAGAGACTCCACTCGTGGAGGGCACACACAAAGTAGTGTGTGCATTGGGACGCAGGGGAAAAAGCAGTGACCCCAGGGGAGACTGAAGCAGACCTACCTGCTAGTGTTGGAGTGTCTCCTGCAGAGGCAGGGGGTGGCTGTGGTTCACCGTGAGGACAAGGAAACTGGCAGCAGAGCTTCTGGGAAGTACTCCTTGGCATGAGCCCTCCCAGAGTCTGCCATTAGCCCCACCAAACAGCCCAGGTAAGCTCCAATGTTGAGTTCCCTCAGGCCAAAGAACCAACAGAGAGGGAACCCAGCCCCACCCATCAGCAGTAAAGCAGATTAAAGTTTTATTGAGCTCTTCCCACCAGAGCAACACCCAACTCTACCTACCACCAGTCCCTCCCATCAGAAAACTTGCACAAGCCTCTTAGATAGCCTCATCCAACAGAGGGCAGACAGCAGAAGCAAGAAGAACTACAGTCCTGCAGCCTGTGGAACAAAAAACACATTCACAGAAAGATAGACAAGATGAAAAGGCAGAGGGCTATGTACCAGATGCAGGAACAAGATAAAACCCTAGAAAAACAACTAAATGAAGTGGAGATAGGCAACCTTCCAGAAAAAGAATTCAGAATAATGATAGTGAAGATGATCCAGGACCTCGGAAAAAGAATGGAGGCAAAGATCGAGAAGATGAAAGAAATGTTCAACAAAGACCTAGAAGAATTAAAGAACAAACAGAGATGAACAATACAATAACTGAAATGAAAACTACACTAGAAGGAACCAATAGCAGAATAACTGAGGCAGAAGAACGGATAAGTGACCTGGAAGACAGAATGGTGGAATTCACTGCTGTGGAACAGAATAAAGAAAAAAGAATGGAAAGAAATGAAGACAGCCTAAGAGACCTCTGCAACAATGTTAAACGCAACAACATTCACATTATCAGGCTCCGAAAAGGAGAAGAGAGAAAGGATCCGAGAAAATATTTGAAGAGATTATAGTCGAAAACTTCCCTAACATGGGAAAGGAAATAGCCACCCAAGTCCAGGAAGTGCAGAGAGTCCCATACAGGATAAAGCCAAGGGGAAACATGCTGAGACACATAGTAATCAAATTGGCAAAAGTTAAAGACAAAGAAAAATTATTGAAAACAGCAAGGGAAAAACGACAAATAACATACAAGGGAACTCCCATAATGTTAACAGCTGGTTTCTCAGCAGAAACTCTGCAAACCAGAAGGGAGTGGCATGGTATACTTAAAGTGATGAAAGGGAAGAACCTACAACCAATATTACTCTACCCAGCAAGGATCTCATTCAGATTCGATGGAAAAATCAAAAGCTTTACAGACAAGCATAAGCTAAGAGAATTCAGCACCACCAAACCAGCTCTACAACAAATGCTAAAGGAACGTCTCTAAGTGGGAAACATAAGAGAACAAAAGAACCTACAAAAACAAACCCAAAACAAATAAGAAAATGGTCGTAGGAACATACATATTGATAATTACCTTAAGCGTGAATGTATTAAATGCTCCAACCAAAAGACACAGGCTTGCTGAATGGATACAAAAACAAGACACATATATGTGCTGTCTGCAAGAGACCCACTTCAGACCTAGGGACACATACAGACTGAAAGGGAGGGGATGGAAAAAGATATTCCATGCAAATGGAAATCAAAAGAAAGCTGGAGTAGCAATACTCATATCAGATAAAATAGACTTTAAAATAAAGAATGTTACAAGAGACAAGGAAGGGCACTACATAATGATCAAGGGATCAATCCAAGAAGAATATGTAACAATTATAAATATATATGCACCCAACATATGAGCACGTCAATACATAAGGCAACTGCTAATAGCTATAAAAGAGGAAATCGACAGTAACACAATAATAGTGGGGGACTTTAACACCTCACTTAGACCAATGGACAGATCATCCAAAATGAAAATAAATAAGGAAACAGAAGATTTAAATGACACAATAGACCAGATAGATTTAATAGATATTTGTAGGACATTCCATCCAAAAACAGCAGATTACACTTTCTTCTCAAGTGCGCATGGAACACTCTCCAGGATAGATCACATCTTGGGCCACAAATAAAGCCTCAGTAAATTTATGAAAATTGAAATCATATCAAGCATCTCTTCTGACCACAATGCTATGAGATTAGAAATGAATTACAGGGAAATAAAAGTAAAAAACACAAACACATGGACGCTAAACAATACATTACTAAATAACCAAGAGATCACAGAAGAAATCAAAGATGAAATCAAAAAATACTTAGAGACAAATGAAAATGAAAACACAATGATCCAAAACCTATGGGATGCAGCAAAAGCAGTTCTAAGAGGGAAGTTTATAGCTACATAAGCCTACCTCAAGAAAGAAGAAAAATCTCAAATAAACAATCTTACCTTACACCTAGAGGAATTAGAGGAAGAAGAACAAACAAAACCCAAAGTTAGCAGAAGGAAATAAATCATAAAGATCAGAGCAGAAATAAATGAAATAGAAACAAAGAAAACAATAGCAAAGATCAATAAAACTAAAAGCTGGTTCTTTGAGAAGATAAACAAAATTTATAAGCCATTAGCCAGACTCATCAAGAAAAAGAGGGAGAGGACCCAAATCAATAAAATTAGAAATAAAAAAAGAGAAGTTACAACAGACACCACAGAAATACAAAGCATCCTAACAGACTATTACGAGCAACTCTATGCCAATAAAATGGACCACCTGGAAGAAATGGACAAATTCTTAGAAAGGTATAAACTTCCAAGACTGAACCAGGAAGAAATTGAAAATATGAACAATCAATCACAAGTAATGAAATTGAAACTGTGATTAAAATTTTTCCAACAAAGTCCAGGACCAGATGACTTCACAGGTGAATTCCATCAAACATTTAGAGAAGAGCTAACACCCATCCTTCTCAAACTCTTCCAAAAGATGGCAGAGGAAGGAACACTCCCAAACTCATTCTATGAGGCCACCATCACCCTGATACCAAAACCAGACAAAGATACTACAAAAAAAGAAAATTACAGACCAATATCACTGATGAATATAGATGCAAAAATCCTCAACAAAATACTAGCAAACAGAATCCAACAACACATTAAAAGGATCATACACCATGATCAAGTGGGATTTATACCTGGATTGCAAGGATTCTTCAATATATGCAAATCAATCAATGTGATACACCATATTAACAAATTGAAGAATAAAAACCATATGATCATATCAATAGATGCAGAAAAAGCTTTTGACAAAATTCAACACCCATTTATGATAAAGACTCTCCAGAAAATGGGCACAGAGGGAAGCTACCTCAACATAATAAAGGCCATATACGACAAACCTACAGCAAACATCATTCTCAATGGTGAAAAACTGAAAGCATTTCCTCTAAGATCAGGAACAAGACAAGGATGTCCACTCTCACCTCTGTTATTCAACATAGTTTTCAAAGTCCTAGCCACGGCAATCAAAGATAAAGAAGTAAAAGGAATACAAATGGGAAAAGAAGAAGTAAAACTGTCACTGTTTGCAGATGACATGATAGTATACACAGAGAATCCTAAAGATGCCACCAGAAAACTACTAGAGCTAATCAATGAATTTGGTAAATTTTCAGGATACAAAATTAATGCACAGAAGTCTCTTGCATTCCTATACACTAATGATGAAAAATCTGGAAGAGAAATTCAGGAAACGCTTCCGTTTACCATTGCAACAACAAGAATAAAATACCTAGGAATAAACCTACTTAGGGAGACAAAAGACCTGTATGCAGGAAACTATAAGATACTGATGAAAGAAATTAAAGGTGATACCAACAGATGGAGAGGTATACCATGTTCTTGGATTGGAAGAATCAATATTGTGAAAATGACTATACTACCCAAAGCAATGTACAGATTCAATGCAATCCCTATCATCCCAATGGCATTTTTTACAGAACTAGAACAAAAAATCTTAAAATTTGTGTGGAGACACAAAAGACCCCGAATAGCCAAAGCAGCTTTGAGGGAAAAAATGGAGCTGGAGGAATCAGACTCCCTGACTTCAGACTATAGTATAAAGCTACAATAATCAAGGCCATATGGTACTGGCACAAAAACAGAAACATGGATCAATGGGACAAGATACAAAACCCAGAGATAAACCCACGCACCTATGGTCAACTAATCTATGACAAAGGAGGCAAGGATATACAATGGAGAAAAGACAGTCTCTTCAATAAGTGGTGCTGGGAAAACTGGACAGCTACATGTAAAAGAATGAAATTAGAACACTCCCTAACACCAAACACAAAAACAAACTCAAAATGGATTAGAGACCTAAATGTAAGACTGGACACTGTAAAACTCTTAGAGGAAAACATAGGAAGAAACTCTTTGACATAAATCACAGCAAGATCTTTTTTGATCCACCTCTTAGAGTAATGGAAATATAAACAAATGGGACCTAATGAAACTTCAAAGCTTTTGCACAGCAAAGGAAACCATAAACAAGGCGAAAAGAAAACCCTCTGAATGGGAGAAAATATTTGCAAACGAATCAATGAACGAAGAATTAATCTCCAAAATATATAAACACCTCATGCAGCTCAATATTCAAAAAACAAAACTGAATCCAAAAATGGGCAGAAGACCTAAATAGACATTTCTCCAAAGAAGACATACAGATGACCAAGAAGCACATGAAAAGCTGCTCAACATCACTAATTATTAGAGAAATGCAAATCAAAACTACAATGAGGTATCACCTCACACCAGTTAGAATGGGCATCATCAGAAAATCTACAAACATCATATGCTGGAGAGGGTGTGGAGAAAAGGGAATCCTCTTGCACTGTTGGTGGGAATGTAAATTGATACAGCCGCTATGGAGAACAGTATGGAGATTCCTTAAAAAACTAAAAATAGAATTACCATATGATCCAGCAATTCCACTACTGGGCATATACCCAGAGAAAACCATAATTCAAAAAGACACATGTACCCCAATGTTCATTGCAGCAGTATTTACAGTAGCCAGGTCATGGAAGCAACCTAAATGCCCATCGACAGATGAATGGATAAAGAAGATGTGGTATATATATACAATGGAATATTACTCAGCCATAAAAAGGAAT